AGAGGATCTCATGGCATGGCTTGAAAAATAGCCATGAATTATTCGGGCTGTAACCTGTATTCTCAGCAGGGTTGGTTCTTTTTTTAGTCCGTCGGCCCTTAGCAGGTGAGCCAAAAGTTAATTTCAGACTCTGCACAGATGCCTCTCTGTGCACACGGGGCCCGCCGGTGCTGGGGCCAAAAGCGCTGACAAAGACACCCGACCGAAGTGATCTATCAGCGGCAGAAGGTTGGAGAAGGTTGAGGCAATCACACTGTCTCATTTCCTTCAGTCTGCCCGCGTCTCCGTGCTGTCAGTTAGCCGCTCCTCCTCTCCCTCCTCTACCTCTGCTTTTCTTTCCCTCTTCCCTTATAAATGAATCATCACGCAGCGGCCAGCGGAGCAGAAATGTTCCTTAATTGCTCCAGCACGTCTCGCTCACGCACAGGTTGGACATGTTAAAGGCACAGGACTATAATGGCAAGAGGCGCGTGTGTGGCTGCTATGTGCCCTGTCACTATAGCTCAGTGTTAAAAGCATGTGTCCCCTCTCTGTCTCTCTCTTTCACTCTGTACAGTTCCCTCTTTGTCTCTTTCTCTCTCTTCCCCCCTCATGTCTCACTCTTTCTGTCTGTCTGTCCCTCTCTTTTTCCTTCTCTGTCTCGTCTCTTTCGTGCTTTCTCTCCCTCCCTTTCTATAACTCTCTATCTCCCTTTATGTCTTTCCCTCTTTCTATCTCTCTCATTCCCTCCTTCTCTCTCTCTCTCTCTCTCTATGCCTTTTCTGCTCTCATACTTGCCTCTGCCTTGTCGTCCCAGTGTAATGATTTAGATCAGATGGTGCTGTGTGGAATTAGAAGCCACACTCCTCCCTCACCCCCTCCTGCTCGCCCCGTCTCGCACTGGCCCTCGGCTGACAGGCATCTCGTTAGTGCAGTATGTCTGTCAGCGAGCTTCCAGATTGAGTTGTGCCCCCGCATATCCCTGATCCGTCTCTTTTTTCACCCCACAAACACCCAGATTTGATGCCGGCTCTGAAAAAACACAACGTCTCTCTCTGGCCTTTCTAATGATCTGGTGTCCCACACTTTAAGATGTCACTGTAATGGAAGTGTTATTTTTGTCCTGAGCAGAAAAAGACCACCATTTTGTTGAAAATTGTTATTCACCCTCTTTTTCTTCGTGTCAGGTGGAGATCAAGATGAAAAAGACCGATGCCATCAGATGGGAGAAGCTGGAGGGAGAAGGACAGGACTCCAACATCAAACATTTCAATCCCCGTCAGTCCACAGCTTCAGCGTTTTTATTCTGTCTCTTTGCTTTCAAGTACCAGTTTGACTCTCTCTCTCTCTCTCTCTCTCTCTCTCTCTCTCTCTCTCTCTCTCTCTCTCTCTCTCTCTCTCTCTCTCTCTCTCTCTCTCTCTCTCTCTCTCTCTCTCTCTCTCTCTCTCTCTCTCTCTCTCTCTCTCTCTTTTTCTATCTGTCTTTCTCGCTCATATATTTCATATGCCAGTTTATCTCTCTCTCTTTCTCTCTTCCTCTCTCTCTCTGTCTCTCTCTGTCTCTCTCTGTCTCTCTCTGTCTGTCTCTCTCTCTGTCTCTCTGTGTAAAGATCAATATGAGCTCCGGCATTTGTCTGTGCCATGCTACCAAAATGAGAGTGGGCAGTGGAGCTGTGCTAGACTCTTTCATTAGGCTGACAGTAAAAGTAGGCAGGAAGGGATAGGTATGACAGCAACTTATGAGTCAGTATTTTTGCCCACACATTCACATCACTGACTAGATTAATTGTTCATATAAATATGTGTGTTAGTGTAGCAGAAGGACAGGAAAATAAAATCAAAAGTTAAGTGGGCAGATGAGTAGCCATTGTAGTGGGCTTGAAAAAGGTGTCATGAAAACATGGTGTTTAGGATGGTTTGACATCTGATTTTATGGAGAAGGAGAGCAGAATGTCCACGCCTGGCCTCAAAATGTCGACGCCATGTCAACTGCATTATTTATGTAAATCTGTGTTCGGATTACACTCAGTCTGGAGTAGATGCTTCCAGCTGTAGTCTGGATTTTTACGCTGTATTTTACATGTCTAAACACAGCAGAACAGTCTTTTTCTTCATGTAAAACTATTGTTTTTATCCAATCAAATTGCTGCTGTTAACACATTTTCCTTTTCTCAGATCAATACCCATCGTCATCTCACTACACTCAGAAATGGGACAAAATGGTGGTGGACCTGAGTGAAGAGGAGAAGAATGAGAAGCTGGAAGGAGATGCAGCGCTGAACAAGCTCTTCCAACAGATCTATTCGGATGGCTCCGACGAGGTCAAACGCGCCATGAACAAATCTTTTGTAAGTGCCATGTTCTAATACTTGTATCCATAAGTGCCATAGTTGCATTTTCACTGCATACTCAGTCAAAGCTTTTGTTATGGGAAAAATATATGTCCTTGAAAGCTAATAGCTCCCTGTAGGTTTATTCAAACACACAGCAAAACATGTTCAGCCTAGAGCTACATAACCTTCTTCAGTTGTTTCATAAATGTATTTTGAAATCTATTCATTATTTTTTACTTTAGTAGTTCAGTTTTTATTGAGAAAAATTAATGTTAACAGTAAAACCAAGAAGTGGATAGTGCATGGAACAAGACATTGAATCAACCCGCAGTTTCAGTAGACATGTTGGACATGGTTTTGTATTCGTAGACTATAGTTCTTACTGAATAATAAAGGATTCCCCCCTGTGTTTCTGTGTCTCTGCAGATGGAGTCTGGTGGCACAGTTCTTAGCACCAACTGGACAGACGTTGGAAAGAGAAAAGTGGAGATGAATCCTCCAGACGATGTGGAGTTTAAAAAATACTGATGCTTTGGTCTGTGTTTCTTTGTGTCTGTTTTCTCTCATTTTACACTCAGTGCACCTGAAATTAGCAGCCTCCACGGTTGATTCGTTTCGCTCTGAACCAAACCACCCGTGGCCTGATCATGGCCAGCAGGGGTCACATCATTTGAATAATCAGTTCAGGAGATCAGTTTGCATGATTTGCTTTGTGATGGTTTCATACTGACAAGAACAGACTTAAATGGAAAATATTCCCAAAACAGAAACACCCACTGCCTTTCAACTTCAACTTTCAACAGCCTTTTCCCACACACAATATCAACTCTTGTAAAAATGTAATATTAACATTAGATATCTTTAAACTATGATTTCTTGGCTCATTTCCTGTCAGTCATCATGTGGTTCAGCACCTGATACTCCTGATACTTCGACTTCTGGTGTAAATAAAAGATTCAGTGTTTGGCTCAAAGTAATTTTCTTTGTCTTTTGTGGTTTGTTTGCGGTGGAAGTGTTTTCGGAGCGGCCAGGAAGTCTGGGAATGGATCCATCTGACACAAAACACTGGTATATTACAGCAAGAGTCATGCTGAGTGATTATGGTGCTGGGAGGGATGAAATCTGGCATTGCTGATATGAGTGCACAGTGAAGATATGGGTGGCAGCTCTGGGATAGGGTTTACGAATCATTGTTGGATCTCTATCTCTGAGGAGTGCTGCTTTGGCACAAGGACACAGCTGAAGTGAGCGAAAGAGAGAGCACGGGCACGTTCAGTCTGCACTGTACAGCGCGCCACAGCAGTGCGTGTGAGGGGGCGTCCTGCAGAGGAACCCATACAGCATTAATATGGATCAGCCTTCTAACCACACCATCAAGCTTCTCACTCTCACTTAAGTGTTAAATTCATCACACATCGTTTCATCTCTCGTGACGATCAAACGCCCATTTGTGGCATTGGATGGGACTCTTGACACAAATGTCCAGTATTCCCTTTCACACCCAAACATTCGCCTCCAGATCTAGCTCCAGGCGCCTCAGACACATCAAAAGGACCTAAGCACTTGGTGGAAATGATCTGTGAGCGTGACGGAGCAGTCTTTAGTCTCATTAAAGAGACGCAACATTAAACATCACCAGAAACTTCTTTCAGCACACGTCCCTTTGGAGATTCTACTAGCTGTGACACTTCTCCAAACTGTTTGACATATTCAGGGCCCTATTGTTTCAATGTATAAATATGTAATTATGCACTGATTAGACAATAGAGAACAATAGTCAATGAGAAGAGAAGAGGCTGTTTACTTAAAAAAGTTTATTTAGTCATATTGCACTTTGAAATTCAATGCCGTCTGATTTATAAAGTTCTTCAGTGAAGGCACACAGTACATCATTTTAATGAGACCTACTCCGATAGAAAATAGCAAAGAGAAAGCGTTCAAAACACGAGTCAAACATTTTTCATGAGAGTAATGACCTCACAACAGATGCTGTTTGTGCCAGCAGAAATGTTTTACACTGAATTTATTTACAAGAAAAAGCAAAGAAATAAACATAGATAATCAGAACTATAAATATAAGCAATTTTACTGATGTATATATGTTGCAATGTACATTTTAACCTCTAACCTTGGTAGATGTCAAATAATGGGATCTCACATGTTTAATGTTAAATTTGCTCTGCTAGCATTGCAGTTCACAGTGGTTTGAATCCAAGGCTGCACCTACACTGTGAAAAACTTTACATCTCTGATCATGAGTGTCCTAGATTTGGCATCATGCATTTTCTGTGTGAACATCCAGCTTTCTCCTAGTCCTCTGCAAATCTCATGTCCTATCAGAACTCAAACCTGTGCACTCTAATGTTGTCACGTTGCTAAAATTACAAATGCATTTTCAGCACTAAAGAAATGGCTCAATACAAATATCAATCAACAATAGAATATAAACACAAAATAATGATAGTGATATTTCTTTAATAACATGAGATTTTACAATAGATCAAGACCACTCTAAAACTACTGAGGAAAGGTTCAAATTTGTCCCTTTTTGTGATTTATTTTTCAGTATCAATGCTTTAAACGAGCCTCTAGTTTTGATCCCAGTTTAGTACGGGATGGGTTTTGATTTATTTATTTATTTTTTGACCACCTTGGTGCGGCTCCTTCCCTCTCAGGTCTGTACTCAGGTTAGACTATACCCAGGGTGCGAGCCACCCACCAGCTGCAGGGCATGATGACCCTGCACACGGTTCTGCAACCTCTGTAATGATAGGGCCAGGGGTGGTATCCTCCCAGGGGCTCACACACCTTCATACAATGAGTGTAGCTACGGCGACACTCGTGACAGCAGATGCCGTTGTGGTCCATCATGGGGTCAATGTTCATGTCACCTGTCTCGCCCTCAAGACCTCTCTGTAAGAAAGTATACAAATAATCAATAATGAATGCAATATCACTGATTAAAGTTACACTGTGTAACTTGTCTAGTGGACCATCAGCCACCTGCTTGTCTCCATGGAGATGTTATTGCTATGCCTGAAATGTCCCATACTATAGCTTAACATATATCATAGGTTAAAGGTGTACTGTGTAACTTCTCTAGTGGAACTGCCACCTGCCTGTCTCCATAAAGATGTTATTGCTTTATCTGGAATGTTCCACAATGTACCTGCTCTCTGTAAAGCACTTTGTGATTTTTATCTATGAAATCTGTGAAAAGTGCTATCTACATACAGTTTACTTACTGACTTACAATATGATGTGAAACTTTGAATCGATTTAGCATTTGTTTAATTACAGGTGCTTTAATTTGTCAAAATGCCTTAAAGATAGATGCATTTAATGTCTTATTGTGGAACATTCCAGAAAAAGCAAGAATATCTCTTTGGAGACAAGCAGGTATCGGACCCTCTACCAAAAATGTTACGTAACACCGCTTTACAATGACAGTATCATAGTGCATGTAATATATGAGAATCTAAAGAGTTTGGTTAAAAGAATTTACTTCGTAACTAAATTGTTCATTTATTGGTCTCTTCTAGCTTGTTTTGTGTTTTGTTTTGTGTTTTGCCTTATCTTTCATTGGAACAGAATGATTCCCTCTGATCCTTCACTGTTCTTTTCTCACATTGTTTGTCACACACTTGCCAATAAATCTCAAAGGTGCATCAACAGCTAAACCATAACTTTGCATATAAATGACATTCCATGGATAAAAAGCATATATAAGTACAATTGCAAAAGAGCTTATTGAATTCTTGGTGACACTGGCAGATTATGTGGTGTGGAGTCAGCAGTAAACGACTAGCTTAATAGCATGTTCAAATTTAGCATCTAATGCATTTAGGTGCACTATGTAACCTCTGGTGGAGAGTCGGCCCCCTACTTGTCTCCATGGAGATGTTTTTTCTTTGTCTAAGATGTATGGGATTGAACGTAATTATCTCCATAGAGACAAGAAAGTGACAGACAAGACAAGTTACAGTCAGATAGTAAGAATGTATATTTTTAAGGTATTTTTGTAACAATGAAAAAAACTGTATTAACTACATGCTAGATAGATAAGTTTAATGTCAAACCGCAGAACATTCCAGGCAAAGCAATAACATCACCATGGTGACAAAATTACACTCTAAACTCAGAAAATTACATTGTGTGCCTTTGCCATTAATTAAGTATTTCAGTTTTGACATAAATCATTATTTTTCACTACTCATTTAAATCACTAAACAATAACGAGCATCTCCCAGCACCCCTCTGTTTTCATGTCTGTTTTTCTTCTGGTCTTAAGCCAATCACAGCACACAAAGAAGTCTAAATGAGTCTAAATGACACGTGGATGAAGTTGTCAAGTAAATTGAGGTGTGACTTTTTCCTATTGTTCATTGGAAAAAAGTCCTGAGCAGCTCAATTAATTGGAAAATCATTTTCAAGAAGGCAAGAGTGTAGCGTAGGTTCATCTTTTCTGAAAATTGTTTTGTATAATTTGAATATATTTTGAAGTACGGCTCTGCTAATAAGTGTACATATATGACACATGTAAATCCACGTGCACAGCTGGATGTGTGGCTTCACTTCTTCTTGTGATACTGTGCATCTGAAGAGGCAGAGGAAGCATGTTCAAAACCAATTAAAAATGGATTTCCGACAGGCAGTATGGGGAGGAGGGGATGTTGTCAGCTGTGGGTTTTTGTTGTCAAATATTTTCCTTTTCAACAGCTCGTACTGATGCTGTTTACCCCCTTTCTGTGGTTGTCAGGCGAGTGTTGGAGCTCGGTTTGGGGGTTGCTTTGCTGTGAGGGGAGTGAAGACGAGAGGATTAAAGGGGAGAAAGGGCCCCTGTGTGAGTGTGCTGGGACATATGTGTGCTCAGGGGGGCAAAGGCCTTCTGTCGAGGTGGGGTCAGCTGTGGAATTATTCATACAGCTCCGGTGGTGAAAGAAAAGCGTTGGACGTGCTGCTAAAGGGCTTGAGAAAACCGCACAGAGATGTATGCTTGGAAAACACACCCACGCATTTGCTCAGATTCACTGTGACAATCTGGGCCCCACGAAGTGACCCTGGCATCTGCTGCTGCTCGCACATCTGTGAGAAACTCTCCTCCAACCAAACACACACAGGTAGCCTTCACATGTAAGTGGACAGTTGTGAAAGAGAAGGAGTGTTAGTGTAGTGTGACTCACCTTAGAGGGGTTTGCACTGTCTCCTGTGTTTTACTTTATTGCCTGTGTGGTGTTGGGGGCTATACTGTGTGTTATCATGACAGGTGCGCTTGGAAATGGGTTTCTTATTAACAGGAATTAAAGGTGCATTATGTAACTTGTTGGAGAAGGGTCCACCACCTGCGTGTCTCCATGGGGATGTTATTGCTATGTTATTGTAATGTTCCACTCTGAGGCATTGAACATATCTAGCATTGTTTTTCCATTATTGCTGTTAGCTGGTGGTCAAAAATATCTTGAAAACATCCATTTTCACTGTGACTGGGCTTGTTTCCACAGATCTGACCAATAACACCTTGCCCTTGTGGTGCCAGTCATTTGTCCCTATGGAAGCGTCATATTTTAAGATCGTACTGTGGAGCATTCTGGGCAAAGCAATAATGTCTTTACAGAGACAAACAGTTGGTGGGCCCTCCCCCTGGAAAGTTACGCAGTGCATCTTACAACAGAGCAAAATGTGTAGGACTCAGCCTGATGTCATCCGCCGTGTTGGCTGAAATTTGGATCTTTTGATAGTCATGATGGAATAAAAGGTGTTTACTTATATAAATAGATTGTGTAATCTGTGGTGATTTGCTGTGAAACTGATCAAACTTGAATTGTTATTACATTTACATTTTTCTCTCCCCAGTAAATAATAAAAATGTAACTGTGTAATCAAAAAGCAATTGGTGAAGCACTTGTTCTACCCCACAAAACCTAGAGGAAAGCTACACATTAAATAGAAGCCTTTTAACATGAATCACAAAACATAATTTATAATAAGTCTGTATTTCTTCAGTCACTTCTGAAGTACATGAATCGTTTTAATTAACCATGAAGTCATTTATTACCCAAAAATTATCAAGCAGTCTTAGCACATGTTACGTCTGTGGTATAACAGTTTGACCCTTGTTGCCGTACTGCCTCTGCCCACTCTCAGATATAAGAAGAGTTATTAAGTGTTTTTTTGGCGTGACTCACCTGGTAGGGGTTTTCAGGGTTGAACTCTGCCTCAACATCCTCTTCGGCATCGACCTGGCGCCTCTGCCGTGGAACTGTCCTCCTCTTCCTCTGTTCGCCTGCACACAGCACACACGCTCACAGAATGACAGCACGCCATATTTAGCCACATGGCAATAATGTGGCTTTAGATTCTCAGGTGTCTTCGAGCAGAGTCTGAAGTCATGAAGGGAAATACAATGAAAATGTTTAATGATCTTTTGACCTCCCAGCATGCTATAATTGTACACTGCTGAGCGCTAAAACTTCAAAAGGAAACTTGATTTTTTTAAGGCTCCTTTTTTTAACAACTGAGATGTTAAATGGAAATATTACAGACCGTTTGACCCATATCCTTTTTGCTTTGGGAAAATTACATCTTCAAAAATAAAACCAAATTCCAGAGACACATCCGTCTGTTGCTTTTCTCAGTACACTGTACTTGTGCCTGTAATCACATTTTATTACACATTTGATTACAATTTTTCAGTTAATAATGTGAATTATATGGGTAGTGCCCCTGCATATCCAGAGCAATTTAATCTAATGTTGTTTTTAAAAGGTTAATTGACAAACATTACTAAAAATATATGAAGAGTTCAACAGGAAAAACAGATATCTCCGGTTTGAAAAAAGTTTTTTACTATCTTCTAGAGATATTGTCAATGATAATAATGATAACAGTGGATTTTATCAAGAAAGGATGGAATAATATTTTGATAGCAGTAAAATACATGTGAACTAAAACAAAACAAAACAAAAAAAGCCTCTGATTACTTTTTCAAATGGCCCGTATGTGTTTTTACAAATGACCTCTTCATATACAGTACACCTATTATATTGGTAAAATTTTGACACATAAATAATTGTTACAAACAATGATCAGTCTGGGTGCTTACTGGTGGCATAGGTGGGGCGGAGCCAGAAGATTGGAAGGTCTCCACACAGGTCTTTGATCCTAGTGCTGAGGAAAGCAGAGTCCGTCAGCGGAGCGTCAGCTGCCACCCAGATCATATCATCAAACTTGGCAGGCATCACTTCATCCTCCTACAAGAAAGACAGGTACATAATGACATAATGCACTCACTACAATCTAGGGGTGCATAAAAATATCAAAATATCTATTTATCGTAATACTAAATTTGGTGATGTAATATGTAATATGATGTATCAGTATATCACCAAGAGTATTATTTGTGATAACACAATTGTGTTACTTATTTAGTGGATGGAAACTTGTTCATGCAATACACTGGTTTATTTTAGAAAAATAACTAGATACAAGACTTTGAGTAGAGTGGACGCATTTCTTGGACATATTGGCGAGACTAGACTTGACTTGGGTGTCTTTTGAAATATTGTGTTGCGCTGTGTGCAGAGAGGGGTGCGGAAGTGTTTTGGTTTAGTTTTGTCTATTTTTGTTTTTTTGTTTTGTTAAATGTTAACATGAATTAAAAGAAAATAGATATTTTTTATATTAACTTTGCACAAACAGTGGAAGACATGTTGTTGCTAATGATGTATTTGGTTAATAAAAAACAGCAATACATCATAGAGTATCACGTGCAGTATATCTTACAATATATTGCAATTACAATATATTTTACATCAGATGCCCTTCCTGAGACAACATTAATCGATTACCCAAGCTTTGGATTGACAGTTCTCTGGAGAGATACCCCTAATGAGTGAATTAAGGTACTGTATACACACAATTGTGAACACAAAGAATCAATAAAACCAATACTAATAATGATTAATTTGCCTGGAAAGGTCTGCAGTGCCACCTTGCCAAGTTACAGGTCAGATCTGTGGAGAGACTACCCTGTTCACAGTAAGAATGCCTGTTTTTCAAGGTATATTTGAATAAGAAAAAGTAATTACAAGGCAGAAAGGCTTAATGCCATACAAAGGAATATTCCATGGAGAGAGAGTAGATTTTCTGACTATTTTGTTTCATTTTCTTTTCGTTTCTCGTCTTAGTCATCATAGAAAATTCATAGACCTTTTTTATTGTGATGGGATTTAATTATATACAGATAGAGAACTATTTCCAACTTCGTACACAGTTACTTCAAGCTTTGATAGCAATGTCAAAGAGGTCTTGAGAAAAGCTTTTATAAAAGTCATTTTCCAATACTGTGCAAAAGTCATTTTATTGCAGCAGTTCCATTTCAAATTAAACTCATATATTATTTACATTCAGCGAGGTTCTTTTAATAAAAATGTATTACCTTTTTGAACTGCTATAATAATTTCACCTTTTCCACAATAATGTAATTTATTAGCGTGTGCCTGTATAATACATCATACAGTACGTACACTGTTGAGTTCATGGACTTTTTCTCTCCCTAAATCCCAAACCAGCCAAAACAATATTTGCATGTGCACGCGCCGCCCCCTTGAAAAGCTCTGTAATTCTCCCTTCAGTCAGACTAATCTGCATGAACGAGGTGCTTTTAATGCTTCCCATAACAATATGAAATCAGGTAGTAAAAGGGAAGTCCTTGAGGCAACATTTAGCTAACGTTTAACTGGATACGCAACGTCAAGATTCATCAACATCTGAATAAAATATGGGGCTTGGCCTGATTTCCCAGGTTAGAGCAAACAGCACCATCTTGAAACATGAGAGTAGGTTAGCACTGCACAGCCTGTAGGTACAAAAGCATAGTCTGGGGGATGTTTCTGCCCACGGGCTCTTGTTCCTGGGGGCTGCACTGCACTGGCTCAGCTCATGTTAAGGTAATGTTATCCCACAACCTTTCACAAGTGCTCCTGCTCATATGATGTGCTGCAGGGACAAATAAAAGTGGGGGTTCTTCTCCACCGCTGCACTGATAAGAGTTTATCTGACCCACTCTCTGCCGATAGGAGTGTGCGTGTGTGTGTATGTGCTGACAACATTTGCCATCACTCTAAATTATAGCAAATGACCAGCCTGCAGCTACCATTATGACAACAGCTCCCATCTTCACCGCCGCGCTACAAACAAAATATCATTTATGAGTAAAAGACAGACAACACATGAGAGGAGAAATAAATGATCCTTTATGAAGCAGGGAGAGGCAATAAGAGCAGCGCTGCGAGAAAATGAAGAGTGTACTTGCGTTTGTGTGTTGACAGTAATTTTGGTAATTCTGGCTATGTGGATTTATATGGGGCTTACGCACAAGTAAATGATTTTAATTATCAGATAGCCCCAACTCACAGACAGTGGTGTTTCTGAAGGGGCAATGGTGATAATAATTGCCACCCAGACGCAGCGCTCTGTGGCTGCTCCAAGTTATGTTGTTTTTCTTTTAATGTGGTCCGCTCAGCTTTTAGTGCACTGGGGCTGGAGCTATGCAAACACTTAAAAACACTGTCCCCTGTCTGTATGATTTACTTTAAACAACTGCTAATGCTAGGAAGGCCAAAATGAGGTCACAACTGGCCCCCTGTAGGGCCAATTAAGTTACATGTGATCTATTATGACCTCTGCCGAGAAGGTTTGCTAGCATTATTTTGCCTGTCAGTCATTGACAAAGCAGTGTTGGTTGTTTTGGGTGTGAATGTGAAATTCAGCCTAGAAGACCAAACTTCGCACCTGTCTACCTCACTGCTTCTTTAGAGTTTACTTGCACCTTAGCCTTCATTCCTTATTCCAAATCCTCCTCCCCACTGCTCACTGCACCTCCTCCTGTCCAATCAGTTCCGAGTCTGCCTAATTTAAGCCCCCATTGCAGGATCACGGACACTTTGGTTTGTGCCACGCCCCACCTCCTCCCCAGATCCCAGAACCCCCTCGGCTTCTCATCATCTCATCATCCCTTTCACTCTCCTCATTGTCTCCTTCATCCTCTGCCTCACCTCTACCACCTCCAGTGACCACCTCCTAAACATCATCTAATCAGCCACAACCTTCTTCCGCCAGGGTCTGAGCAAAGCCAACTCATTCAATAAAAGTACTAATACTTACTCTTTGTGTCTGAGTCTCTCCAGGTTGAAAAATAGGGTCTGTTTTGTCTGTTTTCGACATGGATATAAATATATAAAACGCAGATCCAGGATCCACAGTGATAACTTTTTGTCCTGCTGGAGGTCAAAATGTAGGTTTGTTTTTCTGTATTACACATTTCTACATTTTGTCATCTTTCAAGGCCTGCACAGCGCAGTTTGTACAACTAGAGGTCATGCTTTGTGCCAAACAACTGTGCAGACCTTGTTGAACTTGTTAACGCCAAATATGAACGTAAAAGGAAGGACACTGAACTCAATACAAGGCAAACATCTAGAAAAACTCTGAACACTGGTCTTACAAGTCTTGTACTCAAATAAAGATAAAAATGTCCAAATTCACATTATTTTAAATTAGTAAAATAGATTTTACAGTGTATATTTCACATGACTAGTAAAATTATCCCAACTATACCAATGGAACAAAAGTTTTCATACTTTAAATAGAAAAGTACATCTTGCTACACAAAAGATAAGAAAAACAACTCTTTGCACTTAATAAGAAACTACATCTTATTTAGATTGTACTGAGTAAAGACTCATTCCATTCATAGATAATTTTACCTTGGCAAGTCTCCACAAAACAAATTGAATATTCTTAATTTGAGTAGTTTAATTTACCTAGATGTTTAGACTTTTTGCAGTGTAAATGCTTACTGCTGTTGTTATAATCCACCAATCACAAGTCAGGGTAACTTCATTCATCTGCTATGCAATGATCAAAATTGATATGACTGCACAATAAATTTTTACAGTGACCCAATTAAAATTCCTCTCAACTTCCACAGTATTTACCTTTACAGACTAAACTCCTTGCAACATAAACATTAAGCGACAAGTGCTGAAACTCCCAAAAAAGCCTGAAATGTTTGAACCATGTACAGAGTAAACCCACCAGGTCAAAGGTCAGGGTGTCTTTGTTCAGCGTGTCCACATCAGGCAGACGAGCCTTCACCTGCGTCTTGATGTAGCATTTTTCTCCTCCTGCAAACCGGATCCCAGTGATGCCCTGTAGACAGACTCTTAAGTGCCTTGGACAATAGATCAACATGAAACAATCCTGAAAAATTCATAGAAAATTCAGTTTTACCCCATCACCTGTTCCACATCCCAAAACCTTTCTAAAATTTTAATTAAATGTGAGTAATTTGCCCTAGATTCAAAAATGAACACTTGGCAGGACATTATGATTAAAGGTCAACTTACTGATTAGGTTGATTGGGATGCTTAAAGTAAAGGTCGAAAACCAGCAGTCCGAATTTAATGAAAATTGGAGGGGCAATATGACTAGACACTGATAGGCCTCTGGGGCAAATTTATTCATTTCAGTTTTTACCCCTCTTGTTAAACGTTGAGCAATTCTGACCTGCTTCTCAGTGGCCACCAGTTAGTTTTCCCCCTTGCTTATGCTTATGGACTATTTCAATCTAATATTAACCCTCTGCTTTGGGGTAAGGGACAAGTGCCTCATCTGAGCAGGCCTGTGAATGACAAATACTAGACCTTGGTGACAGGTGCAGGGATAATTTTGAAAATATGGAAGTAAGAAATAATGAGTTTTAAGTCTTGAAAGAGTGAATCAGTGTTTCCCATAGATTTTGTTCAGACTATGGTGGCACAAATACTTTCTAGATTAACAATTTTCTTTCATACAATTTGTGGAGTTTATTTATACTTATACTTATTTATTTTTTACTTATTGCCTGTTTCATTTCATATTTAAAGGTTTCCCTATCCATCTAACATTTATTCATTATGCTCAAAAATACATGGTCTTCTGTGAATAGGGGCAAGTCTTCATAGATCTGAGTTGTTATGTAGTGTAGTTCTATAACCTGCTTTTTTTATGTTAATGACAATACAAGGAGCAACGAAGTGAGATTTTGTCATGCCAATGTTTAGGCCATGTTAATTTTAGACTATGGGTGAGAATTTTAGACTACGGAGGCCGCCTTAGTACTATTAATGAGAAACACTGAGTGAATAATGGACAATGCTGCATGTGAGAAGATGTTAGGAAGGGTAAATGTGAAGAGCAAACTGTTTAAACTGTGTTTATGTGTTCATTATGTTTTTTTCATTTTACTGTTTATTAAGAAATACTTATTTAAATCATATAAATTTAAAAATCTTATACTAATCCGAATTAGACTGGCAAACTCACAATCTCAAAGTCGTGGACCTCCATGGCTTCGTCCGCCCCACTGCCGGTCCTAAAACTCTCCTTGTTGTTCTCAGCGTCAATCTCCATTGAGCCCTCCTCGACTTTGCCATTGATGCTCATGCTATAGTGGACATTGTAAACCTGCAAACAGAGACAGGTTTGGCATGTCAGCTATGAAGCCAAGAAGCCAACCCCACATGCCCTCCATGCCCCTCCCTTTCCTGTCTCTGAAATCTCTCCTCTACTATTTCAACACTGTCTTGCTTTTCCAATCTTCCCCCATCACATATGACCTCTCTCCTCTGCATTTCGCTTTCACACTTTCATTCATAGTCGGTATAAAAAAAACCTTTTTCTTCTTTACAGCCCTCGGTGATGATGACCCCTTGGTAGAACATCATGTATTTGCCGCCTTAATAGCTTTTTCACATAATGGAGAAAAAAAGCTCTCAAAAGCACCTCATTTTGCTTCTCATCTCTTACACCTTCTGCACCTTTAGCATCAGCCGGACCAAAGAGCCTCCCCCTCACCAACCCCCACCTCTCCCTCACCTCCCACCATCCCACCTCTCCAGAATCCTAGAGCTACCACACATACACAACGCCTCTATTCACCAGGCGTCTTCTTTGCCTCGGTCTGAACTAACCGAGCTGCAGTGTTTCATTTGCATTTCAGTGTTTGCCTACGCTGCAGAAAAACTCTTGACTTTAAGGGACTGACTGACTGAGTTTCCATTTCAACTAATACTGAAAAGATGAAGCCTATTTAACTTGCTGCAACATCACCCGCCATCTCTATTTATGTAACTTATTATGCAACGTGTATGCTGAATTGGTGTGTGCATATCCTTGATATTGAAGTCAAGTTATCTCAAAAGTGGAAGAACAGCACTTTTGTAAACCAAAGAAGTTTCTAATAAACGCCTGTAGTAGATTTTTTCCCCTGTACAAAAGGTATTGGAGAATCAATTGCACTGTCCTTTACAGAATCTCCGAGAATTGCTAAAACAAGCAATAAGTAGAGACAGTAAAGCTCAATTTATCTACTCTAAATTCTTTACACTAAGGTGACAATGCCCCTACGTCCACAGCTGTGCACAGTAATGTGTGTGAGCTTATGTAGACGTTTAGGTTCTTCCACTGTCATGGCATGACGACTGAACTGATACTGCTACAGAGGATTCCTTTGTCACATAAATACCTGAGTTTAGGCCTTATTTCCAGTTAAACATTAGTTGGTATATGAATACAAAAAAAAAATGAAAATACAAACAGCCTCTCAAATAGACACCAGGCCATAAACACCACTCTTACGTGTTTCTCGTTGTTGTTCCAGAAGTAGAAAGCTCCAACGGCCCCCAGCAGCAACAGAAGAGCCCCGGCAATGAGCACCGCTATCCCGGCCTTAATGAGGCGCCCTGTGGCGGTGGGCTTCACGGCCACCGCAGAGTAGGCCTATAATATCAGACAAACATGCATACGCCGTGGTTAGAGATGGCATTATGGTCGTACCATTACGCAGAGAAATGCAGTTTCAAAGCAACCAGATTAGATTTCCCACTGTGCAAATTAGGAAATGCCCACTAAATTGCCTTTAAACAAGGCTAAATACACCTAAGATTGTATTCAAGACCTTCGATCTTGTTTAAAGTAACTGTCATTCGGCATAAAAGCTAATTCAACTAAACTAAAACGATAAATTGCAATTTTATTAAACACAAAACATGGCATAACTCTTTGAATGAACATTCATAGCGTAAAAGAAGGCTAATCAAACCTAAACTACTGATCAGAGTTGGACCATGTGAAAAATGTTTCAGGGGCCCCATGTAGCCTGATCCCCTTTACGCACCAACTTCACGGACATCTTTTTTCAAAACTGTTCAAAAACAAAACTAAACTGGGTTCTGCATTTCCTAGGCGACACACGCTGGTTTGAAAAGTTGCCCGGGGGCTGTGAAGACTCACCGGGGGCAAAAACTGTTGCAAATCCTCGGGTCCCGCTGAGGCGATCGGTATTTTCTCTGAGCTCCCGGCCATGACTGCAGCCAAATACCAAAACACCTGAAGAGAGGAGACACGGTTCATCCAGACGCAGACCGCACACATCCCTGCCCCTGCGCCCAACCCCCTTTGCTGGGACAGAGTGCCGAATTAGTGGCAAAAAGGAAAACTTAATATAACACATGTTAGGCTACACTGTAATCAACAGGAGGAGGATCATAATAAATAACTGAATAGTTTTGACGATATTAAGAGCTCTTCCTAAAAGGAGCCCTGTAACTGTTTTGATGGAGGGTCCGGGACTTGCTCTTCTCGAGATGTTATTGCTCTACCTGGAATGATGCACAATAGGGATTTTTTGTTATAGGCTATTTCTAATCTATTACAGGTACCCGTATACCTTGGAAAAACATACAGAAAAATACTTGCAGACTACTGTAACTTCCTCTGATGGCGTCGCCCCCTTGTCTCTGTGGACATAAGTTTAATGCCACTGTGAAACATTCACACAGCAAAGCAATAACATCTCAATGGAGAGACAAGCAGGTGGGAGACCCTACACCAAAAACATGTAGCCTTCCTATAAGGCATGATTTATTATTTCGCAATTACACATAAGACTAGTCAATCACCAACAAACTGTAGGCTACTTGGACATCCATTATGTCTGGACTGAGATGCATAATTTATTTGCCTATTAATTAGCGATAATTCTGTATATTATGCCTATCTATAGAGTCTATGTTTTTCTTTTGAGTAAGTAATAGAGGAGCACGTGTCACGGAAAATGACTGCGCCTACGTCCTCATCCTCATTATGAGCTCCAGAAGTAACGGTGTACTTCCTCGACCTTGGGGATTGGCAGTCATTTTCAGTTGGTCTTCTAAGACGCGGCAGCAGTGGAGGTGGGTGCGTCTTCGTTAAAGTCTAATATAAGCAAAAACGCCTTCTTTCACAGGAGCATTCATCATATTTTCCCTTTGAAGATCGTATAGGCAGCTCGTGTAACTCCAATAACTCTGATTCCCGCTAAGATCCTCAAAGTTTCAAATCATTAAGCCTCCTGAAAGCCACAAGCTCGACTCAGCAATTAAAGATGAAGGTGAGGTGGTCCTATTTTTCTCCTTATAAGACCCTGAGCACTTTCCTCAAACTCCACGTACCCCTTGTTCTGTCCCAGGACATTGCGGGCCTCAAGGGTCCCCAGTGGAATGTCGCGTGTTTTCTCTAAACAGTATGTACACTCCCAGAGCTTTGAGACCCCCTCACTCTTATCTGTATCTTAGACATTTGTGTCACGGATCGCGGTGCACTTAATAAAAAATGTCCTGAATGCTTGGATGATAATGAGGGATTACGTAAAGGCGCACAGCAGCGCATTTGGCACTGGGACAAATAATTGAAAGTGGGCTGTGTTCTAGAAAGATTTCCACAAGGACTTTGTGTTATTCAGCAAAAATGCCTTGTGTTTGGGTGTCTGATGTATATGGTTTCAACTTCCACGGCTCAGTTTCTGTCTCATTCTCTCTCACTTTTCAGGCTTCGTCCAATGGGCGCGCAGGTGACTGGCGGAATTAATTCATTTACAAAATGGCAATCAAGGCATAACTCAACACCTACAAATAGCTTGGACACGTCTTTGGCAAAAATAAGTACTTATAAAATCTATGACAGAAAGACATGGTGGTACTGTGATTGCGCTCTTGGTATTCTTGAGGTGACTCTCTGCTCTGGCGCACTCCCAGCAAAGTGGTTTTCACTGAAAAAAGCCTGACTGACCTTCCACAGTCAGCTGCAAGGACAAAGGCTCGCCTCACTGTACAAACAGCGACGCCTGTTGACAGACGAGTGTCATACACACCAACTGCAAAGCTCTGCCCACACTATTGACTGTATGCCCACTCCTAACCGGGTCTAAGCTAAACGGGCTGTATTTTAGCGCATTAAGTCTATTGAAACCTAACCCTTGTAAATCAGTAGTCTACAAAATGAAGACTACATCTGGACTGAACTATTCAGTTCATACAGCTGCTTACACGAGGACTAACAGACTAACCTTAATATAGCTAAAAAGATAAGAAAATATGACTGAATTTTTTTTTTTTTATATAGAATATTATATTTGAACCAGCCCATTACCAACATAGGGGTTTAATAATTGTAAGAAAGTTAATTAATACCATTTCAGAGTTTATTTATCAGAATTTGTGATAATAAAAAAAAATCACAATCGCATTCAAGTCTTTTCACCTGATACACTCAGGGACCACTGCCTCAAAGTGCACATGTTTGAGGCAATTTTAAATATAAGCATGCTTAAAGGTCAATAATTACAATGTCATATATACACATCTTAATTATAACTTTATAAAAATAAACTCTTATGTACAAATCTTGCAATATTATACACTTCATGTCCAACAAGTGATTGAATGGACTTCATGTAGAATTTACATTAAACAAAATAAAACAAATAATAAAACATATTCACAGTCTCCATAATATTATCAAATACATTATTCTCTTGTCTTTATAAATTAATTAGTCCTTGATATATTTCCCTAAGTGTGGGTGAAATGTGCTCAGTCTTTAAACATCATTATTGGTGGGGCAGTGTGTTGGGGTTGGCGTGTACACAGGGATGCTGACTTCACTGATCTCTTGCACTCGCACAGGTCTGGGAGGGGTCACTAGCATGTAGTCATACTCTCTGTGCAGGACCTTCTCATAGACACTCTGCAGACCCACGGTTTTGGGGATGTGAGCTTGGTAATAGTTGTCCCTGCGGTTGGGGTCCCGGGGCAGTGAGGCTGTCTTGGGTAAACTGCTGAAGGAGGTCAGAGTGGGGGCTGGAGAGGGGGAGGGTCCCGCGTGGGCTCTGACAGCTGTAGGACTCCAGCAGCGGTCTGAATGACCCAAGACCTTACATTCACTGGTGCACGCCCACAGAGCTGCAGAGAAGAAGACATGCAGTTAAATTTACTGTACACAATGTTGCGCATTCCATTTCACTAACAAATGGTTGCATGTATTTATTTCTAGCTCATGCAGCATATTTTAGTATGGGCAGTTTTAACGTTTGTAACAATAGCTGTGGCACTTGTACTTTAGAGTAAAATAGCAAAATGATGCCAGTGTACAGTTCATAATATGCATGTGGGTGTAGGCAGAGCTTCTTTACCATTTTGTGTGCCCATGGGTGGAACCACAACTCCTTCTTTCTTCAAAGTATCTGCGCTCACGTCACTGTCGCTGTCATTGAAGTCACTGTCTCCTTTGCCACTGTCTTTGCCGCTAAAAACTGGATCCCGAGCAGATATAGTGGTGTAAGAGTTGCCCTTCCAGATGGTGATGGGGCGCACCGCCTCTTTGCCGTTGCCGTAGCCTGGGAGCGTGGAGTATCCCTGTGAGAGAGACGCAGAAGTTAGAGAGGGTCTCGAGGGGTACTACTGTGTTTCTGTGTAGAACGCATGCCATCTCCCTTGCACACGCACGCACGCACGCGCACACACACACACACACACACAAAAAACCCGGCTGTACTGTTGAACTCACCTCGTGCTTGTTCCCAGTGCGCTTGTTGTTGCTGTCTGAGTCGTAGACACAGGGCGCCTCGCTGCCGTCCTCAGAGGCCGAGCACATGTCAGTGCTCCCGGGATGAGCAGAGCTGAATCCAGGCTGGCTAGTGTAGGAGTGTCCATCAAAGGTCACAGAGCCTCCTGTGGTCGAATGCAGCGGGAGCAGCGGGTTGTCCGCCACGTGACCTCTGCCCCGCTCTAAAGTGCCCTTCTCGTGGTAAGACTCGGTGTCCTCCTCACTCTTGTCGCGCTTGCGCCGGTTGCACGTGGTGGCGATGAGGATGATGGCCAGCAGCAGCAGAGTGCAGCTGCCCGCGAGGACCACAATGATCACCACGGACAAGTCCCACTGCACGTGTAAGGGCGCCCCGCTCTCTGTCTCATACACTGAGCGGTCGCTCGGCGGCGCACCCGCCACGATCAAAAAGTGCACAGTTGCAGTAGAACTGAGTGCTGGCCGCCCGTTGTCACTGACAGTGATGGTAACGCGCAGCATCTCGTCGACGTCATGGGAGAGGGCGTGGTTCAGGTAAACATCCCCTGTAGCTTTGTTCACAGCGAATGCAGTGGAGTCACTGGAGGCAAGAGCAAAGGACATCTCTGCGTTCACCCCTTCATCCGCATCTCGCGCCTCCACCCTGGTTACGATGTAGCCACTTGGGGACTCTCGTGGTAGTGAGATCTCTGCTGTTCCGTTGTGCAGTGCAGGCTGCGTGATCACGGGCGCGTTATCGTTCTGGTCCACAATCCTGATGTAAACAGAGGCACTACCAGCCAGAGGTGGGGACCCGCCATCACTGGCGATAACTCGTAACTCCAGCTGCTTCACGAGCTCAAAGTTAAAACTTCGGAGGGCATATAATGAGCCACTTGCTGGGTCGAGGCTAACGAAAGTTGATATGGGAGAACCCATGAAGTAGGTGTCTGCAAGTTTGTAGCTGACCTTTCCATTTGCTCCCAGGTCCTGGTCATGCGCTACCACAGTGGTGATGTAGGCACCGGGTGCATTGTTTTCAGTTACTGCCACATCATACAACGCTTTGGTGAACACAGGTGCGTTGTCGTTTTCATCAGTCAGGCGGATGGTGTAATGCGTAATGGTCCTGAAGGGAGGCGAGCCAAGGTCTTCAGCCACAATAGTCAGATTGTACTCAGGTATCTTCTCGCGGTCGAGGGCACTTGTACTTACAATCATGAAGCTGTCCTCATAGGCCTGCTGTAACCGGAAGTGCTCGTGCCCATAAAGCGTACAGTGCACCTGTCCATTAGCACCAGAGTCACGGTCTGAGGTGCTCACTAGCGCCACAAAGCTTTCGCGCGCAGCGGCTTCTGTGACGTAAGCAATGCCGGCTGTAATGGACGTCATGGGACTGATCGAAATCTCTGGTGCGTTATCATTCACGTCTTGCACTTGGACCACGATTTTGCAGATGGCAGGGCTCGGGTTCGGACCCAGGTCAGTAGCCTGGACATCAAACTCATACGTGTTTTTGGTCTCAAAGTCCACTGGACTCTCAAGTGTCAGACGCCCGGTCTTTCTGTCCACGCGGAATAACTGGCGAATCTCCTGTGGCACCTGGTTTCCAAAGCCATAGACCACCTCTCCATTTAACCCCTCGTCCGGGTCCTCTGCGTTTAGGTCCAGCAGCAGCGTGCCCACGGGCGCGTCCTCTGCCAGTTCCACAGAGAAGCTGCTCCGGTCAAACACAGGGCTGTTATCATTGTAGTCTTTTACCTTAATGTTGATGCGTGTGGTTCCAGAGCGGGACGGGGTGCCACCATCCATTGCCACAAGTTCTAGCGCGTAAGACGCCTGCGTCTCACGGTCCAACTCCTTCATAAGCACCAGCTCTGCATATTTAACCCCGTCGGCCCTGCTCAAGACGTCAATAGAAAAGTGACTGTTCACGGAGATTTGATAGCTCTGGATGTAATTAGAGCCCACATCTGGGTCCACGGCAAAGTCCAGTGGGATGCGCGTGCCAACCGCGGTGTTCTCTGAGATCTCGAGGCTGGACTCTTTCCGTGGAAACTCAGGGGAGTTGTCATTGATGTCCTTGACCTCCACCTCAACGTGAATGAGTTTGAATTGCTCTTTGGAGAAACTCACCACGTCAAAAGAGATGAGGCAGAGCTGGCTGTGTTTGCAGAGGCGTTCGCGGTCGATCCTCTCTGCGATGCTGAGTTGGCCGTCGCTCTCCCGGAGTCGGATGAGGGAAGAGTTGAACTGTTTCATCATCCTAAAGCTGCTCCTGGAACCAGAGGCGGACATGTCCTTGGCCAAGTTTCCAATCACTGTACCCGGTGCGTCTTCCTCAAATGTCTGATATTTCACTGTCTTTCCGCGTGTGACAACAGTCATACAGGCACACACAAGGAACACCAGTCCTTTCCACCCTGTTTCACCCATATTGACAAACTTATTCTATTAAAGAGATTTAAACAAACAAATTCCACTTTGATGTTAATATAAAATACAAAAACACACAAAAACTCCTTTCCAAGTTCCCGTTTCTCTCTTGGTTTCGCTTTTGCCTATTGAAAAGCCTGTGATAAATACTCCATATGTCTGAAAGCGCACTGATGCGCTCCTCTCTCTCTTCAGTCTGTGGAGGTGCTCACAGCGCAAGAGGGCTGCAGTGTCTGCGGGAGGGTTTATACGGCGAGGCATGCAAATGAGCGGCGCTGTGACCAATCCGCGCTTTGACTGGGGAAAGGGGGACTTCTGAAAGACCGCTAAGCCCTGTTTTGAGATTCCTAGACTGTGCAGAGAAACTTGGCATCCAATAGCTATGTGGGCTAAACACGGGACTTGATTTAATACATCTTTAGTTTCTGTTCTTGTTTATAGTCCTGGGTCTTTTGAATGCGCGCCGGTGGAGGGGAGAACAGAGATGCGCAGTGTCCCTGAGTAGAGGACAAAGCATCTCAATGGAAAGTCTGCTCGGGAATCATAGGCGCGCGCTGAATGTAAAGAGATGCATGCTTAAAACTGTCCAGCTAGATCCACGCGTCTTGTGTGCGTATCACACCACACGGGATCAAAGGCTGTACCCATGACCTCTCCACTGCGTATCTGCTCCAACATTACTTTTCGCACATTCACTGGACGTGTTTTGCAATCTCTTCAACCTTTACCTGTTTATTTCAGCTGACGCACCACAACAAGCACAAGCAACAGTCCAACAATGTACTAATAGAGCTTTTATTGTTTATTTTATTCAAATTAATAAATCCCACAAATTTGCTCCGCTCATATTCTACACCCCCTGTGTGCTGTAATCTAGTAGCCTAGGCTAATTATTAGGTGATCTCCAAAGAGAGATCATATCAAAATGACTATAGCCTACTATAATTTGACTGCTCACGTGATGTCTTGTGAGGGCAGACAAGGGTGTTTTTAATTAAAGCCTCTTCCCGGCCTCGCCTGCCAGAACAGAGCGTTGCAGGTGAAGACACAAACGATCCAACACGGTCATTCTGGAGCCCGTTACAAATGGGATTTGGATGAAAACGCAGGGGGGATTTAGGGGATCTCAATAGTGAGATTATATCAAAGGCATATGAAGCCCTCGTTAGTAGCAGCGGGATAATGGCATGGCAGGGTCTTTCTTTGCAGCAGTCCACGCCGGTATTGTGGCCCTTGTGCGGGTCGGTGGGGACCCTAACCCCCGCCGTCTACACGCACTTCTATGTCTAACTGCAGCATAATGAGCCAAGGCCCCTCATCGCCCCCCTTTGTACAGAGCTACCCGGTTCAGCATGACTCTTTTCATTGTGAGAAGATGGGAGATGAATTGGCCTGGACATTGGGGTCTCTACTATTAAAATACATTTAGAAAACGACCGGGGCCCCGTCACGGCTCTTTAAGAAATGTTCTTATATTTTCTTCTCTGCCCAATCCGGCCCCATCTCCCCCTCTTTTCCACCCACAACGGGCCTTTCAGAGGCAACACTTGCGTTGCAGTGGAAGCTAATATAAGTTGGCATGTTTCATAAAGAACCCATCTGCCACAGAAAGTCAAAGAGCGGACACCTGAATGAAGAGTGGCCTGTGCATCAGTCTGCACGTTAGATGCAGGTCATGACAAAAAAAAATAATAAAATAAAATCTGGATTACTACTTAGCCTATATCAGCAAACTACAGCCTATGAAAGTAATGAGTTTGAAAACCCAAGTGGTCAAAGTTGTTGTTACATAAGTATGGGAATGTTGTTGATCCAGCATTTCCAGTCCACAGGGTCTTGCACCCATCATGCATTAAACTTCATCTTAACATAAAAGTAGGATGTAAATTAAAGTGTAGCGTGTTAATTATTTAAATAAGAATTTTGCAGACTGAAATGTATAGAGGCAACAGAGTTTGGCACGGGTCTATAGATTCACATCACTTAAGTTGGACTGATGAAGAGAGAGATAGGCTATCGTGGAAAATTCTGTTTACTTCACCATTCATCATTTTCAGGCATAGCATATGCCTATAATGTAGGTTTCTTTAACGGCGTTGTGTTGTTTAATAAAGCAGCTACCCACTACTCTGGCCATGAACAGTTAAAGAATAGTTCTATGATGAATATGTGAGACTGTGTTGGTGTATACAAGGCCTTTCACTCCAAACTGTCTTGAGTGAAGCTTGCTAACAATGTTTTCATTTCTATGAATGGTAATGTTTACTTCTTTTCACTACATTTATAGTCTATAGGCATTTAAAAATGCTCCACATTCTCTCAGTCACGCAGCGCGCTCAAAATGTTCTTTACGCACAAAGGGTCCCGGATTAAAAAATTGCGCGTGCACGTGAGCGCGCCATAGCCTATAGAATAAGAAAGGGACAGTTGTGGTGCTTGTGTTGGACAGGCTTATACATCCAAGGAAAGCTCACTACACCTAAAAGACGTCTCTCACGTGACCACCGTGTCACTCTCGCCCGTCTGCACGCGAGTTCAACAATAGCAGAATTAGAGAGAGTTCTAAAATCCCTCTATTCTTCACGGGACATATTAGCATTTTCTTTAACATATATAAATATATCTTTAGACCCCTCCCTCACGTCCACTTGGGCTTACTTCACCATTGTGTACCCATTTGCTCGAGTGATCGCAGGGTATTCGGGGTCTGAGCCGCTCGCCCGATCCGTGCCTCTTGTTGGAGCTTATCTCATTCAGATGGAAATAGGCGATTTGGTATCTTTTGTCCCACAGATAAGCAGTGTGGGGAGACAGTGGACTCAGGGGCAGCAGGATAAAAACAGAAGTTGCTTGAGTTACGGGGGGGTCCTCTAAGATAATCGATCATACTCTGGACCCCCTTCAGCCGCGCGCTCGCCCGTCTTGGATAACCTTTGGTTAACTCGCGTGCCATCCCGAGCAGCACTGTCCTAATTGGTTCCCATCACTAATTATCCAATTATCGCCTCCCAGTGGAGAGCGTGCACTCCAGGCTCGTCAGAGTAATGGCCTCATCCTCTCCTATTGATGACAATGATTAGGACTGAAAGCGTCCATCAGAGAGCAACACTTAAAACTTCGCGTCGGTCTTTAACAGAGAGCACTTCACCCGTAGACCTGCATTGTGGTTATTGTGCTTGAAATGTATGTCTGTTAAACTGAGTACATGTTAAAGTGGTACGCAGTTTAATTAACCTTTTCTGCATGAAGTGGGATACGGCAAAAATACAGTTACTTGTGTAGACTAGAGAAATTTGGGTCACAACATTTCTACGTGGCACACATCTGAAATCATGTAACTCTGCTGACAATGCAGAATTTAAGAAATTGAGACAAGGAGATTATGGGTGCACTTCCGCGCAACACGTGAGAAGCGGGATAAAGTGTTTATTAAGGGGGTATCATATATTGCAACATGAAGCCACATGTGCATTATAGCAGGTTATAGACACAATTGCAATCACTTATAGTTTCGATCCAGTGTGGATGTCACAGGGCAATTATAGCTAACTATAAGTATAGACTATATAGCGCTAGAGAGGTTGAGGCGAGTCTGGCAACTAATGTGGAGAGAGCAGCCGGCGGAGACTGGCACCAGAATGACTCCAGATTGATAACGTCCAGTTACATTAAACATTTATTCTCCTCTATTCTGCAGCGCCATTCTCTTAGTTAACTTCTGTGCCCATCCATCACCTTCCAGCCCATCTGGCGCTGATAGCTGCAACACTTTGAATAAATTCCTCCCGACAAACAAAACGGTTAACATCTCATGAATACAGCTTTTTACCCTCTCGCACAGATTGAGGGGAAAGTTTAGGGCTAGTGGAGTAACTAGTGCAAAGAAATCTGTCCTGGGACACTCCCTCTTCGCTTCCACTTCATTACCAGTATTGTAGTGAGGAGCGCGCAATCTGTGCGGCCGTCTCCGCCCGCCCCAGCCAGCTTTCTAATGAGTTTCCAATGATGATTTAAAGCTCGCATAGAGGCTATTCCTCCAAACTCCGCCCACTCCCCAATCTTATTCTTCCATTCATTGGCTTTGTTTAGCTGTTTCCATCGCTGGCATTTGGGCGTGATTCAGGAGAGGTCACTGGGATACAGATTCACACATCACGCGAATAAAAGGACGATATATGGAGGAACCAACACAAATGTGCCCCGAGAGTAGAAACTCGAGTGGAGGAATTAAGGCTGTGTCTGGAGCAATGTGAATCTGTGAATGTTTAAGGCCGTTTTAAAGTCTACCCCCAGAGAACATTATACAACCTTTTATGTCATTACCATTTGCTTTTCACCATTGTTTTTTATCAACATGTAGCAATTATGTTATAATGTGAATATGTGATACTAACAATATTTCAGACTAGAGTTAAAGAATAAACTACATCCAGCAAGGTCCAGAAGGTCCAGAAGGTCACAAGAATATTGTGCTAGTCCATCTGGTGTGCTTTATACAGTTAGTCCAGTCTCAGTTCAACATAACATGTATTGATACTTCAGATCTCTCATCTTCTATAGTTGCTTTATAATCCAGCCCCTGAAAGAAGTGGCAATGTATGCCCAAGCTTATATTGCAATGACGTTTGATGACATCTTTCAGCACAAAGCCAAATGTTAATTACCTGAAAGAATGACACCAGTAAGGAAAAGTTAAATCAAAGTGGCAGGTCTCTTATTACACAGGCCCTATATGAGGCCACAAGTGTGTTTCTATGACTGTATTCACACTGCATTTCAGGTGTTGGTCCTGGGTTTAGCCTGATATTGATGTTCACACTTGCATACACACAACATAAAATTAGCATTAAACCTGGGACTAAACTTAGAGCTGGACCAAAACAAAAGCAAGACTAAACTAGGACTAGAACAGGACCAAACGGCTCAAACCAGAAACGAACTATAGGATATACTGTACGTGTGAATGCACTGTGCTCTTGCTGGTTTTGCTACGCAAATTT